CAAAATGCCCATAAGACACCAATGTTAAACTCGTGGCCCCTGGTTCGAACACAAGATTTTGTCCGAAAAAAAATTAAAAAATATGGTTAGTCTTAGGATATACCAGGGCAACTTTTCCGCACTATTACAATTCTCGAATCAAAAATATGCAAAATTCGATCACCCCTAATATGGCACTGAACCATTAAATACAAAATTAGGAATGAATTAGGAATAAGACTACGATTGACATCACCTGAGATGCAAATCACTTTAAAATAAACTAAAACTTAACCACACGTACCGGAGTACGTGTGGAAGTCACAAGAGCATAGCAGGGCCGGCACGAACGGCTTTTAAAAATTTTAAAAGCTGGTGTGTTGGGACAATTTAAAAACCAAGGCGGGGTCCGCAGGTTGTCTCCATGAATATTGACCAATATCACTGCTGGCCTGGTCCCTGCTGCAGACGCCAGCCAGGGTGGTCCTTCGTGGTCCTCCGGTTGAACTCCAAACGGCACCGGCCGTTGGCGATGGGCGCCGCCTGGATGGTACACGCCTCCAGGGTGTCCAGCTCCCTCCTGGAGCGGTTGTTGCGGAACCCGTGCCAACGGCCGTTGAAGGCACTGCACAGCCTCTGTGGGACAAAGAGTGGGAATGGGGCGATATTGAGATTTGTTGCAACAGGGTACCAGCAAAGGGGGGAATAACTAGCAAATTAGTTCGTATGTGAAGGCGGAATAAAGCGAAAAATACCCGACATGGACCCAAAGTAGAGGACTATTGACACGTACCACTGCCTCTTCCCACGCCCCCTTCCTGCTGCCTGGGTGGTGGTTCGGCTGAGCGACTGTCAAGGCTAGCAGCACGATCAGCCAGCCGTTGTCTCCAACTTTTGGGCCCGACTTTCGCTGAACGGCTACCGGCACCAGCCCTGTCTGGCGCCGGGTGTGGCTGAGGAGCTCCTGAAATGTAGGGCGATGCTATATTTACACGAGGTCGTGTGGAAATTAGCAGTGGCGATGGGAAACGTGACTAAGTTACTCACCGAAAGGAGTTGATCTCCATTTTTCTGGCCGGACGGGATGCACCCGCACCACTCCTGCCAGTTGATGGGTGGCGGCGGGACGGCCGCAGCTGCCGGCTGGCGACGCTGACGCTGCTGGCGGCGACGGGGCATGATAGACAAATAATATATTTTATGTACCGAGGTATTTGGGACTCAGAAATCGATGTATCAACCCCCCCCCCCGGTCTAAGAACCAATAAAAACTTTTAAAACTGGAAAAAACACTTCTGTTGCACAGATGTTCACGCGTTGTGCCCCGCGCCCTGGCGATACGCCCTGGCAATACTCCGCGTGGCAGTAACACTTAATATCAAACCTCCAATGTATGACATACCCTACCCGATCCCCTCACATTCCAACGACCCTTCCCCCCC